AAGAGAATGATGAAAAAGAAGTCAGGAAAACAATATCATTTATAATAGCCCCCCTCAAAAATAAAATACTTAGGAATAAATCTGACCAGGGATCTAAAAGACTTATATAAAGAAAAGTACCAAACACTAGTGCAGGAAACACAAAGGGATCTATGTAAATGGAAAAACATACCATGCTCATGAATAGGTAGACTCAACATTGTAAAAATGGCAATTCTACCCAAAGCAATTTATAAATACAGTGCAATCCCGATCCAAGTACCAACAACATTCTTTAAAGAGATGGAAAAACTAATCATTAACTTTATATGGAAATGGAAGAAGCCCCAGATAGGTAAAGCACTATTGAAGAAGAAGAATAAAGTAGGAGGACTTGCACTACCTGATCTCAGAACCTACTATACAGCTATGGTGGTCAAAACAGCCTGGTACTGGTATAACGACAGATACATTGACCAATGGAACAGAATTGAGAACCCTGATGTAAATCCATCCACCTACAGTCACCTGATATTCGACAAGGGCCCAAAGTCCATCAAATGGGGAAAAGATAGTCTTTTTAACAAATGGTGCTGGCAAAACTGGATGTACATCTGCAAAAAAATGAAACAGGACCCATACTTCACACCATATACAAAAACTAATTCAAAGTGGATCAAAGACCTAAATATAAAGCCAAAAACTGTAAAGTTCATAGAAGAAAAAATAGGATCAACGCTAGAGGCCCTAATACACGTCATTAACAGGATACAAACCATAACCAACAACACCCAGTATCCAGAAGATAAGCTAGATAACTGGGATCTTCTAAAAATTAAACGCTTATGCTCATCCAAAGACTTCACCAAAAGAGTAACAAGAGAACCTGCAGACTGGGAAAAAATTTTTGGATGTTACAAATCAGACGAAGGTCTAATCTCTACAGTCTACCAGAAAATCCAACACCTCTACAACAAAAAGATAAATAATCCAATTAAAAACTGGGCAAAGGAAATGAACAGACACTTCACCAAAGAAGACATTCAAATGGCCAACAGACACATGAGGAAAGGCTGGGGATCATTAGCCATTAGAGAAATGCAAATTAAAGCCACAATGAGATACCATCTCACCCTGGCATTCCTGGCACGAATCAAAAACACTGGAAATAACAAATGTTGGAGAGGCTGCGGGGAGATTAGAACTCTTATGCACTGCTGGTGGGAATGCAAAATGATACAACCATTTTGGAAAGCGATATGGCGCTTCCTTAGAAAACTAGAAATAGAAATACCATACAATCCAGCAATCTCACTCCTAGGAATATATCCTAGAGAAATAAGAGCCATCACACGAATAGACGTATGCACATCAATGTTCATTGCAGTATTGTTCACAGTAGCAAAAAATGGAAACAACCTAGATGCCCACCAACAGATGAATGGATAAACAAGCTATGGTACATATACCCAATAGAGTATTATGCAACGATAAAGAACAATGATGTATTTGTGAAGCATCTCATAACATGGATGAAACTGGAGGACATTATGCTGAGTGAAATAAGTCAATCACAAAAGGACAAATATTGTATGAGACTTCTACTGTAAAAACTCATGAAAAAGTTTACACACAAAAAGAAACAATCTTTGTCAGTTACGAGTGATGGGAGAGGTGGGGGGGAATACTAAACAGACAATAGATAAGTGGTAACTTTGGTGAAGGGTAAGACAGTACACAGTACTGGGGAAACCAGCACAGCTTGTACAAGGAAAGGTCATGGAAGCTCTATAGACAAATCCAAAGTCCCTGAGGGACTGAATTGCTGGGCAGAGGGCTGTGGGGATCATGGTCTTGGAGAACATCTAGCTCAACTGGCATAACAAGGTTTAGAAAGAAAATGTTCTGCATTCTACCTTGGTGGGTAGCATCTGTAGTCTTAAAAGCCTGTGAGCAGCTATCTAAGATACTCCACTGGTCTCACCCCTTCGGGAGCAAGGGAGAATGAAGAAAACAAGATGCAAGGGAAAGATTGATCCAAAGGACTAATGGACCACAGCTACTACGGCCTCCACCAAACTGAGTCCAGTACAACTAATGTTGCCCGGCTACCACCACTGAGTGCTCTGACCGGGAATCACAACGGAGGGTCCTGGACAGAGTTGGAGAATAATGCAGAACAAAATTCTGACTCACAAAAAAAACGCCAGACTTACTGGCCTGACAGAGACTGGAGAAACCCCGGGAGTATGGCCCCCAGACACCCTTTTAGGTCAGTAATGAGGCCACTCCTGAGGTTCACTGTTCAGCCAGAGGTTAGACAGCCCTATAAAACAGAATGAGACTAATGGGGCACAGCAGTCCAGGGACAAGGACTAGAATGCAGGAGGGTACAGGAAAGCTGGTAATAGGGAACCCAAGGTTGAGAAGGGTCAGTGTTGACATGTCGTGGGGTTGTTAACCATATTGTCAAAAAAGAATATGTGTACTAACTGTTTAATGAGAAACTATTCTGTAAAACTTCATCTAAAATACAATGAAAGAAACAAACAAAAGGAAAAACTACAAAAATCTTGCTGGGATTTTGATAGGAATTGTGTTAAGTCTATATATCACTTTGGGGAGAATTGACACCTTTACTCTGTTGAGTCTTCCAGTCCATGAACACAGTGTTATCTATTTGGAGTTCTTTGACTTATTTTATCAACATTTTGTAGTTTTCAGCCTGCAAACCTTGTACATTCTTTGTTAGTTTTACACTTCATTTTTTTAAGCTCTTGCAAATGGTATTATATTTTTAATTTCAGTGTCTACACATTCATTGTCACTGTAGAAATACAATGGATTTTTGTATGTTTTTCTTGTATACTGTGACCATGCTGAACTTGCTTATTATTTTTAGGAGTTTTTTTTTTTTTTTAACAATTCTTTGGGATTTTCTGTGTAGACCATCATGTCATCTGCAAATAAGAAAGTTTGATTTCTTCTTTACAATCTATATGTCTTTTATTTTTTGCTAGCTTTATTGTATTATCTAGAACTTCCAGTACTGTGTTGAATAACAACGGTGAGAGCAGACATCCTTGGCTTATTTCTGATCTTAGTGAAAAACATCCAGTCATTCTCCATTATGTATGATGTTTGCTGTAGGTTTTTTATAGATGCTTTTTATAAAGTTGAGGAAGTCTCCCTTTCTTCGTAGTTTTCTGAGAATTTTTGTCATGAATGGGTGCTAAATTTTCTCAAATGCTTTTTTCTGTATCAATTGATAAGATCGTGTGACTCTTCTTCTTTCGCCTGTTAACATGGTAGATTGAATTAATTAATTTTGAGAGTTGAACCAGGCTTGTATCACTGGAATAAACCCCACTTGAACATGGTGTATAATTATTTTTGTATACTACTACAGTATATTTAATAACATTTTGTTAAGGATTTTTGCTTCCATTTTCATGGGGGATATTGGTCTGTAGTGTTTTTCTTTTGGAACTGTCAGGGTCTGGTTTTTTGTTTGTTTGTTTTTCTGGATTCTTTTGAGTCTATATTTAAATCAGTTTGTCATTTTTACTAACAGAGGTCTATTTCAAATATGAAGAAAGTTCATATAACTGCAATAAAACTTTAAAGTCAACTGAGATATTACTTCATATAAATAAGATTTCACTGCTTTTAAATATTTAAATTTGTAAGTATGTGTATTTCCATCAAAAATCACCAAAATTATATTAATGGTTGTTTAATTACTTTTAGATAACTCAGATAGACTTAAGTCATATATCAATATAAGTTGAAGAGAACTTTGTAGCAAAGTAGCTTAAAATCTTAGTAAAATATTTAAACATACCTACAGTAAAAATAATATCTAACGTCTGTTTCTTAGTTGTAATGCAAGCAAGTTTTATTTTAGAATTTGATTGCATAGATGCCTTCTTGTCCTTAGTCTCAGGATTTCTCAGTACTGTAGGCATCAAAATCAAATGTGGTGTAGTTAAACTGAGGCCTCCTTTTACCATTAATGATGAATTATTGTGCAGACTCATGTTTAAGCTTCATAGTATTTTGAGTGTTTATGGCTAATTTATAATGAGGAAGAGATATAAATTATAAACACATACCTATATCTAATGTATGTGTGTGTAACTTTTTACAAACCTCTTGTTGCCTTAACAAAAATTCATGAGTAAAATCCAAGTGAATGCCTGAAACTGTGTGTCTTAGTTTCCACCTAGTGGGTGGCTTTAAAGAACAGAAATTATTTTCTCACACTTCTGGAAGCTTGAAGTACAAAACTTTCCTTCTGGGGGCCTTTCTCCTAGTTTCTGGTGACTGCTAGCAATTCTTGGTGTTTCTTTGCTGCTTATGGCTGCGTCTCCCTCCATCATCACGTGGCATCTCACTTCCCCCGTGTGCCACTCCTTTGCATAAGACACCACTCAGAAGGAATTAGGAGAATGACCCACCCTTACTTCAGTATGACCTCATTTGACCCAACTGATAACAAAGGAAAAACCCTATTTCTCTAAGCAAGGTCACATTCACAGGTATAGGAGTTAGAACCACAATATATCTTTCAGGGGGACACAATTCAATCCATAACACCGTGTGTTCCTGGTCATTTAAAAACATTTTTGTTTTTTTAATTGTGGTGAACTATATGTAACATAAAATTTGCCATTTTAACCATTTCGAAGTGTACAATTCAGTGGCATTAATTACATTTACAGTGTTGTGCAGCCTTCCCTGGTGATTCTTTAAAGCTAGTTAATACGTGAAATTTTAAATTTAAGATTTGAATTATGACTGCATCTTATTGACATGAGCGAAAGCTATCTGAAGTGATTGTTTGAGCAACCTTGATATTACCTTGACAATCTGAGTGTAACTGAAGTCTCATACCGCTCATCTTCCTATAACTGCATGAAATAAAATGTATTTTATAACATATTTTGATAAATGTTTCTAAGCGCAATTCTTAGAAAAGAGATAGTTTCTGTTTTTTCAGCTTTGTCCTAATTTTGCAGGATTCAAGCCAAAACTCGAGAATTTAGAGAGCGGCAAGCTCGAGAGCGGGACTATGCTGAAATCCAAGACTTTCATCGGACCTTTGGCTGTGAAGATGATTTGATGTTTGGGGGAATGCCTTCATATGAAGGTTCCATGGCCAGACCCCAGAGCCCAAGAGAAGGGCATCTGATGGATGCTTTGTATGCCCAAGTGAAGAAGCCCCGGAATTCCAAACCTTCAGCTGTAGACAGGTAGGCTCCAGGGGCAATCAAGGAATTGCTTCCAAGTCAACGTTTTCTATAGTTTTTGACATGGGGGTAAGTAGATTGTTCATCAGTCCTCAAACCAGACTGTCTTTTATTAATGGCTTTTTAAAAAGTCTTTGCGTCAAAGTACTGAGTTTATGTAAATGGAAGCCCAGTGGGAGGAACAGCAGAAGTTTTGATATTTTTCTAACAATTCCAACATAGTTCATCTTGTTCTTAAAGCGACGTTAGATCTGGGAATCCACGTTTAGTTAGTTTATAATTCAAATAAAAAGCAAACTTGAAGCTATGGCTCTCCTACTTACGCGATATTTCCTTTTAACGCTAGAAGGCTAGGAGAGTCTACTTGTAATTAAACAGACGGGGAGTGACATGATTATTTCAATTATGGTTTTTAAAGGCCACATTTCTTTTTTTCCTGGTGGAATAATTTTGTATTATTAAAGAATTAGTAGACAAGATGTATAGTCTAGCTAGTCTTCAAAAAGCACGGTAACAACCACAGACCTCAGATCTGAATTATGTGTATTGTTATAGCACAAAGGAGTGTGAGGTTGACTGTATTGTAATGACTCTATATTTTTTTCAAATTTTAACTGAATCAGTTTGAAAACAGATCTCTTAGTAAGTATTTCTATATTCAAACACTATTTATAAATTCAAACACCATGTAGAGTTTGGTTCACGAAGAAAACAATCCTCATTTTCTTTTGTTTCAAACATGTGGATTTTACTGTCATGAACAATACTCTGATCACATCACTTCTTTTGAAGGTTTCTTATAATCGTTTTTCTGTGTGGGAACTGGGCTTTGAACTTTGAAATCACAGATTTTGCTCAAAGCGAGTAGTTCTCAAGCTTTAGCATGTATCAGAGTCATCTGGAGTACTTATAAAAACACAGGCTGCTGGACCCTCCCCAGAACAGTTGATTTAGGTCTGGGGTGGAGCCCGACGATTTGCATTTCTCACAAGTTTCCAGGTCCAGTGCTGTTGCCACTGCTCCTAAGGCCTACAATTTGCGATCCCTTCCAAACTAGAGATGTACTGAAATTACATCATCTGTAACATCTATGTGCTATTCGTCTGCTACATTTTGAAAGCAGTTTATATTTTAGGTACTCCAGCTATTTTTAATAGAGGTTTGCAAATGCAACAGATAACCCTCAGGCAAACCCAGAAGGAAGCATTTTAAAGAATAGTAAATGCAGAAGCAGATTTTAAAGGAAGACTCTAGTCTGATTTTTCTTCTGTTGTCTCCTTTATTTGGGTTTTAGGTTTTCTTTATAGTTTTATGAAAACCTGTTTGATGTTGACTGTAATGAGTAGGTAATATAAGTTAACATAAGAGGTGTAAGGTTTATTTAGAACCCTTTGGTGTGATCCCCTAGAAGATTCACAGTGCTTATTAACGAAGATGTGTCAAGATTAAAACGATAAGGTTTTTTTATCAGTGACAGTGACATTTTCTTAAAAAGTGTCTTTGTTATTTGGTTTCTGCTGTACTGTTGAAAGCTGCTTATATAAGGTGAAGCAGCATTTGAAGGCCATGAGTATCCCATCAAAAGTGGTTTCTCAATGAATCTGTGAAACATAACATGGAGGAATCTGGAAGGCATTATGCTGAGTGAATTTAATCAGTCGCAAAAGGACAAACATTGTATAAGACCACTATTAACAAGAACTCAAGAAAAGGTTGAAACACGGAAGAAAACATTCTTTGATGGTTACGAGGGTGGGGAGGGAGGTAGAGGGTTATTCACTAACTAGGTAGTAGACAAGAATTATCTTAGGTGAAGGGAAGGACAGCACACACTACAGGGGAAGTCAGCACAACTGGACTAAACCAAAGCTAAGAAGTTTCCTGAATACAACCAAACACTTCAAGGGATGGAGTAGCAAGGGCAGGGGTCTGGGGACCATGGTTTCAGGGGGCATCTAGGGCAACTGGCATAACAAAGTTTATTAAGAATGTGTTCTGCATCCTACTTTGGTGAGTGGCGTCTGGGGTCTTAAAAGCAGTAAGCAGCTGTCTAAGATGCATCAATTGGTCCCAACCACCTGGAGTAAAGGAGAATGAAGAACACCAAAGACACAAGGAAAGTATTAGCCCAAGAGACAAAAGGGTCACATAAACCAGATACTGCATCAGCCTGAGACTAGAAGAACTAGATGGTGCCCAACTATCACCAGTGACCACCCTGACAGGGAACACAGCAGAGAGTCCCAGCTGGAGCAGGAGAAAAGTGAGGTGCAGAAGTCAAATTCTAGTAAAAAGACCAGACTTAATGGTCTAACTGAGACTGGAGGAACCCTGGAAAGCATGGCCCCTGGACTCTCTGTCAACCCCGAACTAAAACCGTTCCCGAGGCCAACTCTTCAGACAAAGATTAGACTGGACTATGGGACATAAAATTATACTCATGATGAGTGTGCTTCTTAGCTCAAGTAGATACATGAGACTAAATGGGCAGCTCCTGTCTGGAGGTGAGATGAGAAGGCAGAGAGGGTCAGGAGCTGTTTGAATGGTCACGGGAAATCAGGGTTAGAAAGGAGAAGTGTGCTGTCACAGTATAGGGAGAGCAACTAGGGTAACATAACAATGTGTGTATAAATTTTTGTATGAGAGACTAGCTTGAATTGTAAACTCTCACTTAAAGTACAACAATAAAAGAAAAAAGAAAAAAAAAGTGGTTTCTTATGAAAAAAGACACTGGTACTGCCAGCTAAGAACTTTTAGAGAAACTGGGAAAAATCCATTAAAATGTTGTTGATTATTGTTAGAAATATTCATCATTTTCAGCACCTTCGACATCCAGTTTGAAAATCTAAAAAATAGTAGATGTGCTTGTATTGGTTATTCATAGAGCCAAAAGTCCCACCTGACATCAGAGACAGGAGTCAGAAGGGACCTCCCCGGCTCCTGAGGTCCAGAAATAGTGGCCTCATTTCAGTGCCCTAAACCAAACCAAACCAAACCTGTTGTCATTGTTGATTCCGACTCATGGAGACCCCATGTGTGCGCAGTAGAACTGTGCTCCATAGGGTTTTCAAAATGTGAACTTTCAGAAGCAGATCACCAGGCCCTTCTTCAGAAGTGCCTCTGGGTGGATTCAAACCTCCAACCTTTCATTAGTTGCTGAGCGCTTAACCATTTGTGCAACGCAGGGACACATTTCAGTGCCCTACAAGTGTCTAAATGTATCCCGAAGATTTCCATCCATTTTCAAAATGGCTTACATTCTCTCAGCCCCCTCTCCTTCTGAGGTCCAGCATCCCTGCCTGCACTCTCTGCTCTGCCCCAAGCTGACTTCAAGGTGACACTCTGCCTCCTAACCAGTTTCCTTCAAAAACCCACACAGCAAAATGCCAGAGGAGACTTTGATCATGAGGACGAGTCACATCAAGCAGGAAGCAACTCACAGTCATATCTTAGGCATTTCTGTATTCACAACCCCTTCATCTCACTCAAGCACACTCAAGCTCTTTGACAGCTAAATGTCAGTGATTATAACCCTTTCTGCAGTTGTGTCCCGAGAGGATGGTTGGACTAGAGAATTTCTGAGATGCTTCCAACCAAGTGAGATATTACTTTAAAAAAAGACTCAGAAACTTAAAGTTTAGTTTTTCATTATTATTATTTTTGCAAAGAAGAAGATATTCATTAAACTATGGGTGGTGTTACCAATACAAAAATTGGGGAATTATTTCACCTTTATAGTACTCCTTCACCTACCTGTAATTGAATGTGACTTTGGTTTGGAAATAATGGTATCACCTCCATTGTCTTCTCCTATCACTGAGAAAGCTGTAGAAAAGTGCTTCTCAGACAGGAGTAGAGGAGAGATTCTTTTCTTTCTTTCTTTTTTTTTTAAGGAAATACAATCTCTTGATACTACACTACTGAATTAAATTGTTTTGATTATAATGTTACTTAAATATGTATAAAAATAAAATAGGACTGCACTCCTTCTGTTTATGGCCATTATACAACTATAAAACCAAACATCTTTACAAATTAAATACAAACAAAATGGCAAAACTATTACACTCAAATGAACAACATTAATTTAATGTGGCCAATAATGTTTTTGTCTAAATCCAAACTCTTGCACAAATCATGAATATGGTGGTGGCTGCAACATTGCAGGATCATCCAAGTGTTTCCCTGCCCCCTGAGCCCAGCACTGACTCAGTTCTCCCATCACTTTCTCAGTAACACTCTTGCAGATCCTTTGCATGCCCATGTATGGTGACATTTGATCTGCACATGGCATAGATGCACCATTTATGCATGAAGTCCGAGTCACTTGTATTAGCACTGGCTTGAAAGTAGGTCTTGGTGGTTTCATATCTGTAACCTTAAACTCAGACAATGAAATTCAACTCACCTGTAAGATGATCCAGAATATGCTTTTATTAATGCTTTAAAAACATAATCTTTCAAATGGGAACACAAAATTTGAAACTTCTCAGAGTGTATTTGCTGTTTGAAAAAAATATAGACAATAAAGAAGTTCCTATCAACCAACTGAATTCCACCAAATTATGGACTTGGTGTCCACTGAATTTTATTATTCAGTTTTTTTGATTTTATAAGAGTATGAGCAGGGCAGCTCTCCTGGGATTTTCATTGTTCACTAAGAAAGCAGTATTCCAAATTTTACTGCTTAATCATTTTGATTGATCTTATAGTCAGAAATGTGGACCTGAGAGCATCACATGGCAACTCCAGGGATAATGTATTAAATGCTGTGAATTTGATGTGAGGATGGAATACTTCCTCAATTTCCACATATTATTTATGAAATGCTCTTTTATAAGGTAGCATCTTACTATGTCTAGGAATATTTCCATACCTGTCCAATTTGATTGGCAAATGAAGTATTGTATGCTTTGGTCAAAGTGGTGTTTTTACACTATTTAATATATAACTATTTAATATCCTTGGTAGCATTCTGATGTTCTTATCTTGGATTGCTGCTA